GTGAGGTTAGGAGACAGAAAAGAGTCTGAGTGTTGGAACTGATGATGTCAGTGTAGTAGATAGATTTGACCTGAGAGATACTTTGTACTGTAGGGTGTGGTCTGTGTACATCTCTTTATGAACTGTAAGACCTGATTTCTTGTAGAGTCACTCTAGTCTGTGACCTTGTCAAATCTAACAGCAGCTTACCCTGTATTCACTGTTGGCTGCTGAGAGGAGCCACAGGTTGTTGGGAACCCCCATCCTCCTGTAGTCAGCCATCAGGTCCATGAAGGTCCAGGACTCTTCTCGCTCCTCTTTGTTCACGTTGGGGTTGAAGGACAGACAGTAGAGCTCACTGAACTTCTCTGAGGGACAAGAGACACTTTGAGTCACACACAGAACAAACACACACACACACACATAACAAATACACACACACACCTGGTCGGGACAGACGGACCAACGAGGCCTGGACGTCCAGACAGTCTCTCTCCTGGGAGATGAGGATCTGGAAGACCCTGAAGTCTTTACAGCGAAGGATCAGTGGACTTCCTGCGGGCGTGGTGGGCGGCCTCTCCACACTGCTCACCATGCTGTGCAGCAGCTAACACACACACACACACACACACACACACACACACACACACACACACACACACACACACACCACACCACACACACACAGATTAGCAGCAGAAATAAAAACAGGTGTTGTTGGGTCCAGCAGACCGTCTGTCCCTCAGAGTCTGCAGAGAAACCTGACACCTCTGGATGCTGGGCTCAGGTCCAGAGGGAGGAGGCTGACTCCTCATCCTGATCCTGCAGGGTGTGTGTGTGTGTGTGTGGGTGTGTGAGGGGGGGGGGACCTTCCTATAGATGAGGTCATCCCTGGTTGGTGTCAGGTCGGACATGATCAGGTAAACAGCAGTTCCTCACAGANGCTGTGACAAGACTTAAAACCAGACTGAAACTTCTCATAAATATCATTAAGACATAGGTGCTCATGTAGCTGAATAAAAACAACCTTCTCTAAAAGTTTTGAAAGAAAGGGCAATTTAGAAATTGGCCTAAAGTTTGACAGAACTGTAGGATCCAAGCTGCTCTTCTTCAGAAGTGGTTGGACCACTATCAGGATTCATTATGAAAATAATCATAATTAAAGGTGTTTTTATTTCAGCTGTCTATCATACTGTGAAGGTGGTTTCTGAGCTGTCAATCATTTTCTCACAGTGTTAGTGTGACTGACTGTTGTGTTCCTCCTGATCAGAAACAAACATGTTAACACCTGGTGTGAGTGTTGTGTGTTCACACACAGCTGAACGCTGCTGGGAGCTCGACTCTGCTGAGCTGGAAGCTTCAGGACCTGATGATGGACATCTGTGGACCCGGTGGGTCTGAGGCTGTTTGTGACAGGAGCTGAGCTGCTACCTGCTCAGCATCAGGACCTGTGGACGGTTCTGGAAGTGTGGACCCTGACCTGAYGACCAGCCTGTCTCCAGCTGGGACAGATGTAGCTTTAAAGGTCTCACACAGATCCTGTACCAGCTGAGATGATGACTCGTCCTTCTGCACTGATAAAATGACTGATGAACAACAGGACCTGAACTCTTCTGTCCACACTGAGAAAAACCTTCAGGGAGTCCGTTTATTCATAAAAGAGAACTATTTTTTCATTCTATAAAGGTTTAAACATCCAGACCTGATCTTKACGTAGTATAARATCAAGTCTACCATCCTTTCATCTTTAACTGTTTATAAACCTTACTGCTCCTCTTTTATTCATGACTCAATGAAACTGATTCTTCTTATATTTCTGTAATAAATAAACACAAAAGACAAAGCTGGTTCCTCATCTTTGAGCATCTTGGTGTGAGGTAAGAATGACATCATACGACCTGACTTCAGTAAACATCATTAACAAGGTGAATAAATGAGTAGATCTGACCTGCTGCTCCAACAGAGCAGGACAGAAACACTTATCACCATTTCTCTTTGTCCTAACAACTCACTACACTGTGTGTGTGTGTGTGTGTGTGTGTGTGTGTGTGTGTGTGTGTGTGTGTGTGTGTGTG